ATTTGGGTACAAACTATGTTTTTGTCACCATTTTAAGAACCTTTCCGAAATCACAACATCACGAAAACAAAATTTATGTATCACCTTTGAGTTGTTAAACAACTTTCTACAGGCCTTTCACCGATTTTATCATAACTATAACTAAAATTATTTTAGTCATCATCATAAATTTTGTTTTCCGTCTTTTTAAGTAGTGCACGGCAAGAATCATGCTTGAAAGAAGAAATTCAGTTCAACTTAACCTTCGTAGGTCATACTTCACTGATTTCGTGTTGTTACCGTGATTTATTCTCATGCTCGAGTAGGAAATCGCAAAAATAGGTTCCCGCAAGGCACAAAAAAAACCGCCAGTCAATTAACTGTCCGCAAAATTTTCACGACATTCTTAGATAACATTATATACGTCAAGAAATTCAAATTCTGTCCACAATTTCCAGCGTAGGAATAATGTTTCCTCTCCGGCCGCAGTTTCTAACTCACATACAGATATTCTTAACGAATACTAAACAATTACGTTACAGATAGAAACGCATACAGAAACTTCTTTAAGCAACACCAATGCACATATTATTAGGCTCTATGCGTATTAAACAACCTTTGTGCCCATTCGTGACTGCTACCGGAAATGTTTCCAATATATTCATGCCCCGAGGCAACCTCGTTAATATTTGCATGCGTAACGTTACGTGTCACTAACTAATGTGAACGGAGTAAAAGGGCAAAATGTCATTGGTGATTTAAGTGGTTTTATTGTGGACCACTGTACTCTGGGGGTAAAAATCAGGTACACTTTAGCGCAGCCTGAATCTTGGAGGGAGCGAGTAACTCACACAACCAATATGAGGTTTTCTCGGTTAATAAACAAATAAAAGAATACATTAATATGTGACCATTTATATTTAAATTTTGGGAGTTACCCCCTGCTGTCTTCTCCTCGTGCTCCGCCAATATAAAAACTTCTCTACCTTGCTAACTAAAGCGAATTGTCCCTGTCTCTAAAGCCAGAAGCAGCTATCATGTCTCTCACCGAAGACAATTGGCAAACAACACGACCAACTATCAGAGAAAGAACTAAGTTCGTTTTCAACAACGAACGTTTCAGCGATGTCAACTTTGTTGTTCGGAAGATGGACGATGAACGCGAAAGTAAACACGTGATTCCTGCTCACAAGTTGGTTCTGTCCATCGGTAGCCCTGTGTTTGAAGCCATGTTTTACGGCGAGTTGCCGGAGACTAAACACTCTATTGAACTGCCTGACTGCGAGTACGAGAGTCTCTTGGAGTTGTTTCGTTACATATACAGCGATGAGGTGGCTTTGGATGGAAGTAACGTGATGAGAGTATTGTATTTAGCAAAGAAATACATGGTGCCGTCACTCGCCGAGGAGTGCGCCAAATATCTTCTAAAGAACTTGGATCCATCCAATGTTTTCAGTATCCTTCCATCCATACAGAAATATCAAGAGAAAGACCTAATGGAACGATGCTGGAAACTGATCGACGAAAAGACAAAGGAAGCTTTAAGAACGGATGAATTTGCGACAATTCAGAGGTCCTTACTTAACGAGGTAATCATTAGAGACACTCTATCAGTTGATGAGATAGATCTCTTTAAAGCTGTTGACCTGTGGGCCACAAAGGAATGTGAGAGACAAGGTATAGAGGCACATGGTGACACGAAAAGAAGAATTCTTGGAGAACAAATTGTCAAAGCCATACGCTTCCCAACAATGAAGGAGGCAGACTTTGCAGGTGCGGTGCTTGACAGTGACATTTTAACAAAACACGAGATTATCAGTATCTTCAAATATTTTAATTCCATCACCAAGTCTGTAGAAGGCTTTTCCAAGGCAAAGAGGTTTGGTGATATTAAACGATGCTGCAGACTGGGCTTAAAGTCAGACAACCCATGGAATTATCCCAATCGCAGAGATTGTTTTAACTTCTCTGTGGACAAGGATGTGGCGTTACACGCGATAAGCTTCTTTGGTAACGAAAATCAAACTTACCC